CACACACACACACACACACACACACACACACACAAGTAAGCAAGTAAGGTAATATTATTTTTAAAGATAACTACTTCTTCCTGGTTCAAAAGAACAAAGTCTACCTCTAGCTGTAGACGGAGACCTGACATTCTAATCTGCTCCAAAAACCATAACATTATTTACTATTGTCTCCTCCATTAAGAGTTAATCTGTCTGACCTGCCAATCACCTGACCAGAAAGGCTGATTTACCTGGTGACTTGCTTAGAAAACAGGGCAAATACTTATCCCTTGAGTGAGAAAATACATTTACTCTTCCCAGAAGTCCCTCCCCAGTATACTCACAAATTTTCTATAGTGTAGAACTGGAAAAAAAAAATGGTTTTATTTTTATTTCTAACTCAAAACAAGAATTTTTTTTTCTTTTTTCCCTCTTTTTAATCTCAGTTCAGATACTAACCAAAAGACTTGGCATGCTTTTCCTGACAGTCTGAGTTTGCTCAGTCTGGAGGCCTCCTTCCCTATCAACTATATGGATGCTTGCCAACCTCCATTGCTGAGCCCAACGGGAGTCTCAAATCCTAACTTTCAAAGGTATAGCTTTTTCCTCTTCCTTTTCTCCATGTTCTTTCTCCTGCTAGCTGCTGAGACCTCCAGCTTGCCTCTTCAGTAGTTTCATTTCACATTTGAATAAAATGGTGCTGGGACTTCCTTCAGACTCTATTTCTAAATTCTTTTATTAATGTAACTAAAAACCCAAAAAGAACTCCTATTTCTCTGTAACATCATCATAGCTGTACTTCATAAAAGGGGTCCCAGGGAGCTTGTTCTTCCTACCTGTGCCACGTGAGGATGTGTGGAAGCCACCACTTTTGTGACAGATAGAAAATACTAGGTAGGCACCAAATCTGCTATTGTGTTGGTACTATCTGTTAAGCTTCTATTTTGATTGTAAATTATTCATTTTGAGATATTTTGTTATTTTAGCTCAACTGCAATGCAATAGATGTTCTCATCCACAACTTATATTTATCTCATAACTTTCCACATATTTACTTCTTTTCATGGAGCTTTTTAACAGGTAAATGGATTTCAGATAAACAAAAAATACTTTCCAGTACAGGTATATTCTATGCAAAGAATTATATCCTAATACTAAAGAAAATATCTTTGTCTGAAGTCCAAATTTAATTGGCTGTCTCATAACCCGCTTTTAATCTGAAGGCCTAGCAAAAAGTGATTTCTAATAAAAAATACATTAGTACATTTGATGAGGTTAGAGAGGTCTCATTAGTTATTAGCATTAACATTTATAAAGTTATCAAAGAAGATGGCTGTCAGAGATTGACGAATGTCATATTTTAAGCTGTGTGTGCATGTGTGTGTGTGCTGGGGGCGGGGTGGTGGTGAGGATATGTCACAGTGTGTTTGTGGAGCACCTTTGTGAGTCAGCTCTCTCCTACTACCTTTACAGGGCTTTGAGGACGTAAGTCAGGCTGCTCTTTTACCCACTGAGCCACGATGCAGGATTAAAAACTGATGGTGTTTTTCTTTTAGTAGAATCATAAAGAAGTCATATTCTTAGAAATAAGACACACATCTGAATTTTAAAATCCTACAATAATCAACACACGAGTCTAAAGCTGGGAGGGGGAGGAATAAGGGAGGGGCAGGACATGAGGACACACTGATGAAATGCCTACAGACTGGTAGACTGAGGGCTTTGATTTCCCCACATGTTTCAGCTTTTGATTTCCCCACAAGCGCACTTTCCCTGGAGGAGGGGAGAAAGCTTGTGTCCTCCTTTCCTTTTCATCTTCTTTACCCCCGAGATCACAGCAGGAGCACAGAATCCCGAAGGAAACATTTGGCTCTTCCCCAAATTATACAATGTGGTAAGATAAAAGTGCAAGGCATTCATCTGAGAACCAGGGTGGGGCCCAGGCTCAACAATTTGTTTGGAAAACGGAAGAGGGGAAGAGGGTGAGGCTACTGAATTCGGCACACAGAGCCACTTTGTTTCTTAGAATATGTGCAGAGATTTCAGTTAAAGCTAATAGAAGATCACAAGTGCTAGTGTTTAGTCTTCACTTTAAAAAAAAAATGTCAGTTAATAACAAACAGAATCTTCCAGAATCCCCCATGCTATTGCAAGGCAAATGATAACCTATCATCCTATCATGGAGGAATTTATTGCTGAAACGCTGGCACTTGCTATTGTCTGGATGAGTCAAAGTTAGTACAGTGTGTGTGTGTGTGTGTGTGTGTGTACATATGTGTGCTTGTTGAGGTCAGAGGACAACATTAGGTGTACTTAGGCATCTCCCACATCTTATTAAGGACAGTGTCATTGTCCTGGGATTTCACAAGCAAGCTTGGTAGCCAGCCAGGGTCTGCCTCCCTTATCACCACTGTCTCTGGGAAAAGGAATGCACCTAGGTGCTGGCCTTTTAATGTGAGTTCTCACAACTGGCTGTAAGGCCTGCAAGCACTTCACTGATGGAGCTCCAAACTTCACAGGTAACAAGGAATGAATGATGAGGGATTTTTGATCAGTTTTACCAATTTTCAATCACCTCTATGGATTCACTCTGTACTTCCTGCCTCTTTATTCTCTGTATCACACACATAAAACGTTATAATGAAAATTTAACACAAAATCATTTCCATTTTTAATATTAACTTTTTTCTTTCTTTGTTTTAAGTCTCTTTTCTAGTTTTCTCTTTTGAGGCAGTCTGGTCTGGAACTGTATGGACCAGGCTTACCAACTCACAGAGAACCACGCTCTTCTGCCCCACAAGTACAGGCATTAAAGGCCTGTGCCACCATTGTCTGATTTGTTATTAACTTATTTATTTACTATAGAAAACAATGAATTTATTGTTACATTTTCATATATTAATATACACTTCAAACATATTGATGTATGTGGTACAAATTTACCCTTGAACTGTTTTTCATTTCCTTTTCTCCACATCTCTTGCTGGTCCCTTCTTCCTATGGAGAGTCCCCTACTGACTTAATGCTGAGTGAGTCTGTGTCTGCGTGTGTGCGTGTGCGTGTGCGTGTGCGTGTGTGTGTGTGTGTGTGTGTGTGTGTGTGTGTAGAGGGGTGGTGGCAGAGGGTATAGGTGTGGGTGTGTACTATTTGTGGCTGCTATAAAGCTTATAGATATTTATGAGTAAAATTAACTGTGCTGGGGCATCCATCATCATATCTTGTTAGAACTCCTGGCAAATCAGTGTGATAATGGAGTGGAGGTCAGGCTGCAAGATCCTCAAAATCATGACCAGAAGCACTCATTTAGGAACTCCAAGGGTTCTCTCCCTGGCAGTGTGAGGGCAGCTGAGATTCAGGACTTGAGGAACATGCTGAATAACCATGTAGTTCCTTATTGCTCAGATGAAGAAACTGTTTTCTGAATAGTATATAGGTGCCTTTATACAATCTAATGCAGGGGGCAACAAGACCCATTAGCAGTCACGCTGCTAATAGTGGTCTTCACTGGGCTTTGATTTTTAAAGGTTTGCTATACTGCAAAAATTCTGAGTAGATAGACAAGGCACATTCTGCTGCCCCTACATCGGCACAGGGCAATTTTCTATCTGAAAATAGATACTTTCTGCCCAATAGGACCGACACAGGTTCATCTGCCTTTCTACCTATTATTTTTATGCTCTATGGTCCTGAAATAATCTTTCTCTTTTGAATTTCTCTCGATCACACTCCAGCCACTTTGTATAATACTCCCAGCCCCCTAAGCTGATGCAGACATGCATGCCCATTACGGCTCACATGCCTGCTTGCCCAGGCCGATTTTCCAAGGTGCCTCGGCTTTTGCAGTTCATTGACTGTGTCCCAGGGAAGCCAATGAATTCCGCTTGTTTTCTTGTTTCCTCTGCATCATTTTCTAAGAACAGTTGATTCCTAGTTAGATATTCCTGCCTTGCTTTCTATTCAAGAAAGAGGCACACAGTCAGGCCAAGAGATGGTGCTTATTGTTTCACAAAAAAAAAAAAGCCATCCTACTTCCATTTAAACTTGTAGCCAGAAAGGAAAGCATAACAAGAAGCATGATTTTGTTTGCTTGTTTGATTGTTTTTGTTGTTGTTGTTGCTTTAAAAGAGAAATATAAAACATAGTAAGCTTAGGCTTCAGATTTTCCTATAATGATTTTGCTTCTTGTGCAGCTAATATAATAGTTTACCTTTTTAAAAATAGGGCATTTGTACACTAACTTGTTTTACATGAGGTTACAACAAGGATTTCAGAAAAAAGAATGTTATTATATATGGTAATTGTTTCTGTATTGAAGTGATATTTTAAAAATCTATCTTTCAAAGACATTATGATCCAAACATATAAAATAAATACCAATCACATAGTCCATAGACTATTTAGAAATTAATGAGATACATGGACATATGTAGATATATATGTATAGTTATTTATATATTTAACATAATTTTAACTTAAAAATATTCAATATTTATCAAATCTAAGAATGCACTCCAAAATTCATAATGACAGAATCATATTGTTTCTCTGGTAGTCTGGGTCAAACTGTGTCCCAAAGAGATTTACGCAAAGTCTTCACCTTGGTAGTTCAGATTGTGATTTATCTGAAAGGTTACTCCAGGTAGGATAATGACATACTCAAGTGGAGAGAGCACTATACAAAGATCAATGTCATTATAGAAGCAGAACTTGATACATAAGGAAAGAACATAGTGGAACACGTTGATGTTAAGAGCTAGACTCCAAGAAATTCTGGGATTGACAGTGACTTATCCCAAGCAAGGTGAGGCGAGAAAGCAATTTACCCAGTATCAGAAGGGTGTGCCTCTGCTGTGACCCTGACTTCAGTATTCAATACTTCCAATGGGGATAGAGCTTTTATAATCTAATGACCTTATAAAGCACCCCCTCATGATCTAATGACCTTATGAAGAGCCCTCCTCTCATGACCTAATAACCCTATAAAGAGCCCTCCTCTCCTCCCAGTTCTCTTCTTCTTTTTACAATTACGTGCGCATTGTGGTATGTACATGTGAGTATGGATGTCTCAGAATTCCAGAGTTGTTGGGTCCCCTAGATCTGGAGTAACAAGTAATTCTGAGCTCCCCAACATGGGTACTGGGAAGTAAGGTCCTCTGACAGAGCAGCATATGCCCTTAAACTCAGGGCCACCTCTCTACCCAAAGGCTCACTTATTAATATACCTACAATGACAAATTTCTAATGGGATGGTCAATGAGGAGAAGATTCAATTGGTGAACTGATTGCTCTGGCAGCATAAGGTTCTGAGTTCACATTCCTAGCACTCAGATACAAGGCAGGCATGGCAGTACTTGCCTGTGAACCAGCACTGGGCAGGTGATGACAGGAGCATGCTAGAGGTTTGCTGGTCAGTCTAGTCTAGACAATTGCTGGGATCCAGGATCAGTGAGATAGCTCAGTCTAAATAGGGGATAAGTGATCAAGTATGTAGACCTACATGTAACACGAATCTTAAAAGGTCTTATTAATAAAAATAAACCTGGAGTCAGGTATTGGGTTGAAGGTTGAAAGATCAGAGAAGCAGAACAAGCCACATTCAATTTCATCTCACCAATTCCTCAGCTGATCCTATTCCCTTAGACTGGAAGCCTCTGTGTCCTCATCTGAATGGATCTTAGCTGAACTGCTGTGAAAAGCCTAAAAGCTTAATAAGGCTACTTCCTGATCCTCACAAACCTTGTATACCTTTCTGCTTCCTGCCATCACTTTCTGGCATTAAAGGCATGTGTCTTTGCCAAGCAATCCATGAGATCTTGAGTCCTGGGATTAAAGGTGTGTGTTACCATGCCTGGCTCTGTTTCCAGTGTGGCCTTGAACACACAGAGACCCAGATGGATCTCTGCCTCCCAAGTGATAGGATTAAAGGTGTGTATGCCACCATTTTCTGGCCTCTATGTCTGTCTAGTGGCTGTTCTGTTCTCTGACCCCAGATAAGTTTATTAGGGCGCACAGTATATTGGGGAACACAATATCACCACACCTACATCCACACAAGCACACATGTGCACATTCATCTATACATGCATATGTACATGAATACACACACACACACACACACACACACACACACACACACACACACATTCTACCTTACTTTTTGAGTAGGCAAGCATTCAAAGCATAACAGATAAACAGATAGATGCCTGAACAAACTATATCTATTGTTCTAAGACTATGAGCATATAAAAACCAATAATTACAGCAATGTGTGGGGAAACATTACTTTAAATTTTAAAAGTAGTCATTTTATAAAGTAGATATATGAAAAAAATGTGGAAGGCTTTCTTTAAAATCATACCTGATGGGGTACTAGGTGGACTACTCCCAGGTATTTTTAGCTAGAGGCATTTGAGAAAATCATACGGACCCACTGTCCTTCAGACCCTTTACTCAGCCCTTCTCCCCTAATGGAACTCATAGACCTGGGATGGCGAATCTCTGACTTTCTCAGTGTCAGCACATCATAAGACATCCATAGAGTAGGATGTTCTCTAACAAACACACTGGAAAGAAAACATTTTGCTTGTTTGTCCTTTGGTCTCCACAGGAGCAGAAGCATAGGGGAAAACCTGAGCAAGCAGGTTTTGTTCCCGTTCTTCCATTAGATCATCTTTGCATTCCTACCTCTTCGTGGCTGCCCCTTCATTCCTAAGCACAAAGGCGCACAGGTCTCTCTGTAGGGAGGGTTTATTTTCAGAAGTCCTCACACCGTATAACTTAGATAAACTAAGTTGGTATGGTTTTTAATCTTATTCTCATTGTCTATATGTGCTTGACTTGTAAAGTAGCATGCTGTGGAGGCAAGCATTTATTTCTGCTCCATGCTCAGCCCAAACTCATCATCACCTATGAACTGCTATTCATTCTTTTGTTGTTGTTGTTAACTGATACACAGCTGTAGCTGGAGAATTTCTCTCCAGCTCCCACCAAGCCCCAGCAGTCCGACAGCCCACTTATAAACACACAAACGCTTATATTGCTTTCAAACTGTATGGCCGTGGCAGGCTTCTTGCTAACTGTTCTTATAGCTTAAATTAATCCATTTCCATAAATCTATACCTTGCCACGTGGCTCGTGGCTTACCGGCATCTTCACATACTTCTTGTTATGGCAGTGGCTGGCAGTGACTCCTGCCTTCCTGTTCTTTCTTTTCTCCTTTCTGTTAGTCCCACCTGTACTTCCTGCCTGGCCACTGGCCAATCAGTGTTTTATTTATTGACCAATCAGAGCAATTTGACGAACAGACCATCCCACAGCACACAGCCAAATGGATTCACATTACTTTTCCCTCTTCTCCGCATCTCCCTATATCTTCCATACTTCCCCCTCTCCTCCATGTCTCACTGTTTTCTTCGTTTTCTATATCTTAGCCTCTCATTTGTTTCGTTCATTTCCCCAATTGTTCTCTCTCATCCACACATAGCTGCAAACTTATTGGGTCGAATTAACCATCAGTTGA